TACTAACAAAACTGATATAGATATCCGAATTTGAAATTGTAATTAAGTAGTTTCCATTGAGTTAAGCTAAGTATGGTGTCGAGAAAAAACTGGTTGGCAATTTTAAGACAATATATGCAATGTTATATAATAACAATCAATTAATCTAACATTTAATGATTCAAAGAACAAAAAATATGTATATGTATAGGGTATTCAAAATTTAAAATATGTGGCTAGAGATTTCGATAAACTCAAAATCGAGTCATACTAAAATAAAATTTCACCGGCCAAAGAATCATTTAAATTTTTAGATAGCCGATTAAAGTGAATTTTAAATTAACGATAATATCTTCACTTGCATCATTATAAAAATAATTATTATTGAAATATATATAATGTTGTAGAAATTGAAATTTCAAAATAGAGATATTTTTTTAAAACATAATAGCATAACAAATAAGAATTCAAGTCGTAGTAAAAGAGTCACGTCGTAACCAAAGAATCGTTCATATTGTGCCAACCTTTGTGCTTTGCCAGAGCTCATAAGTACGAATTATTATTTCGCTTTATGACTATCTTTAAGTTCCAATGACACCAATAAAAATGGAGCAAATATAAAATTATCTCTACAAGATTTGAGAAAATGTTAGCCTTTTTTCATGTAGTGTTTCATAAATAATATTTAACGATTATCTATAATTATCTAGAAGATTTTTAAATAATTATTATTGAAAAATAAAGTTTTAGAAACCTAAAATTTAAAATAGAAATAATTTTTAGAAAATATCGACACACCAAATAAGAGTTCAAGCAGTAGTAAAAGAGTCAAGTCGTATCCAAAGAGTCCTTCATAGTCTCAACCTTTGATTGTTTTGCTATAAATATAAGTTATTATTTTGCTTCCCGACTATTTTTTGGATCCAATGACACCGGCAAGAATGATACTAAAAAAGAAAAATAGAATTATAACTAGGAGACTTGAGAAATGTTTAATCATTTTCATGTAGTGTTTCTTAATTAATATCCAATGATTATCTATATTTATCGAGAAGGTTTAAATTTTAAGATTTTTTACATATAATCCAAATAACTCAAATATTTAACATGGTTAGTATCAGCACATCTGCGCGGGTGCTAATACTAGTATTCAAGTTATAATTAATCACTTTCCTTCCTTTAAAAATATGTGAGTATTAGTTCAAAGTAAAACTAAAGCATCCATAACATGAGAACAATACAATATAAGAAATGCCAAAAACATTTTGAAGACTCGCAAGACCGAAACGTCCAACGCTATATTAGGTTCTCGCCGTCCAGTAAGTTATTGAATAAAACAAAAGCAACACTTATATGATAGTGTAATTTGAAGCCAATTATTCACAATGCCATTTCAGATTTACATCAAGAAAAAATGGTGAGATATCTAAACTCTCACCAACCAATTTTGGAGATTCTAAAAGGTTAAGTTACTTGGAAAAGTTCTCAGTGCATCCGAACCAATATCCTCCTTCACCCAACACCTCATAAAGACATCACATGCCGGTTTGTTCCTAAAGAATCAGTAAGGAAAACCACCCTAAGTCCGCCCAGGTTCAGAGAGAATTTGGGGACCAAGATTGACGCTAATCTACTTAATGTATAGTAAATGAGCTCCGAGACCTTTGCTCTCTTAGAGCAGGTGACACTTCAACCGCTTTACCCGTAAAGTATCTTGCATTTGGTGTAAAATCTTTTGCTACAAGCAAAATACCACAAGAGAATAGCCCAAATCACAGAAATCACAGTGCCGCATATCAAAAAGAAAGCCCATATAACCATAAGCACCTCGGACAGACCAAATGACAGAACATCCGAACTACAAGATCACTCCAATGTTTTCCAGGTACAACCTAAATGTCTATCCATCTCACTTGCAAACAAACTTATTCCAAACAGCTTGAAGAAAAAAAGAACAATCTAATAGATGAACAAATGACAACCGGAAAATATCGGAGCCAGCAGCAGGTCTAAAAAATGATACAAGAAGCTTTCATACAGAAGAATAGAATGAATGATAACAAAATATTAAAAGGACATTACAGGCTTTCCTTCATTTAGTGCCTGATAACTGTTGTTGACAAGTCTCCAGTGACATTACATCAACCTATGACACAATTTACTAATGACTACTGTCACAACTCACAAGATAGGATACATGATGCTTACACCGTCAGCTATTATAGATTTTCAAAAAGTGAGAGGCGAAAAGAAGTTACGTGTATGAGAACTGAAACAAGAAGATTCACTTGGTAGATTTTTTAAAGAAATTGAAAGACCTGCAGACGCACATCCTAGAGAACTTCCCTCAATTTGCAGTTGTCTTTGACATGGCCTGCTTGATAGCCTCAGCATATGTCCTGTGTTGGTAGGTGAGTGTGGATTCAAGCAAGTCCCATAGGGATGTCTTTGGGTTCCAGCCTGGTCAGACCACAATCAAAACATCAGATTATTCTTGACCTGCAGAATGTCTGAATTAATCCATAGATGAGAAAACACATACATACCAAGCTGTTTGTTGATTATAGTCATATCTGGAATTCTCTTGTCACTGTCATCGTACCCCTCTCCATAAAATTCTTTAGAACTTACATCAATGGTGGGCGTTTCAAGAGAAGATTCTCCACTCACCTTCGAATAAACCTGTTATGCAAGAAAAGGCGCTGAGAAAAATAGATGGTGGACAGACGCTGTACTAAGATGTAGAACTAAAACAAAGCCCACAGGAAGAAAAATTGAAGGAAAACACAAGGCAATCACTCAATTCACCTGAGTCATCATTTCAGCAAGCTGCCGCACAGTAACTTCATTGTTAGGATTGCCCACATTAAAAATATGGCCATTTGCCCTTGCAGGATTTTCCTGATAGAAAAAGAGTGAATCAGCATATATATATTTATGCACCTGAAAATTCAAATGAAAGAAGATGGAGGTCAAACTCACAATCATCAAGAGAACAGCTTCAATAGCATCCTTGATATATATAAAAGTTCTCTGTGATTCCCCACCGTCGACTAGTTTCAGTGGTTCACGTCTTAAAAGGTTCTGAAAAGAGAGGGAAAATGAAACAATAGAAAGTGAGATCCAAGAATATATGCAAGTTTAAATTCAACCAAAATAAATCAGAAATACAAATCATTCGTACATTACTAAAGCAAGCTAACACTCTTGGAACACCCTCACTAGGACCATCAATGCCAGGTATGAAATCCATCCTGGGACCAATCCAATTGAACGGCCTTACAATTGTGAATTCTAAGCCATTCTCAGCACCCTCAGCTGCAAAATAGTATGCATAAGAATTATACCAGAGAATATTCAAGTTTTAAGACAGCCAATCAGGCAAAACTTCACATACCATATATCAACCTCTCAATCAATTGCTTTGCACAGGCATATGACCACCTCTGCTTCTCAATAGATCCAAAAATGCAAGGGGAGGCATCTTCCTTAAGCACATAGTAAGCAGGATCCTAAGAGAAAATCAGAAGAAAGATTTAAAACACCTCCAAAAATCTGAATAGTATCAGAAAACAGTAAATGAGTATCAGATCATCCATGATTCCACAACAAAAGTTAAGCATGTCGTGGGATGCACAAGACTGAATGGTACCTCATCCATTTAGATTCAATCTGCTAGATGATCCATGCAACATATAGAAAAGGCACATTGTCGGTCCTAGTAAATCGCTTAGCAATTACCAACTTCTCAACATATAGAAAAGGATTGTGTATCAGAGATGATTTTATATAAATGAGCACACAAATCTTAAATATCAAAAACTCCCTTAACTTCTTAATTACCCCGCCTTTAATTTTCAGGTGGGGGTATGGAAAAGCAGCATGGAGGAAAAGAGAAAATAAAAACGCAAGTCCTAGATCATTATAGAAACAGTTAAATCTATCTAAACAATTATGGAACAAAGCAACTTAAACACTGGATACAAGGGGCCAGTACAAGTATGTTATACAAATACCAAACAACATAGTGGAAATTAACTGACATTTATAAGGATAGGACAAGAACTCCATGGAAACAACAAAGTGAGTTTCACCTTAGGTGTTGCATTAAATATGGTACAAAATAAGATGTTCGTGAAGTCTCACCTGCCGCAATGGGCTGTCCTTGGGTAAAAAGGCACCTATCGTTTTCCCATAAACTTCACAGGTGGAAAAGTGAATAAGACGCTTTCCATTTTCTGAGCAGTACTTCACCTGTATTAATCAATTCACATCAACTTCACACTCTAAATAATCACAAGGATCGAAATTGTCTATATCTCAACTGGATTCATTTCCAATAACAACCAACTGCATAGCAAAATATGAGCCCCAAAAAAAAGGCAAAAGTGAAGTTAAAAATGAGAGATGCATACCACTGGAAGAGCATCAATGAAGTTGCTGTAAATAGTGTCAAGTGGACGAGTGTTGTAATCCGCTGGAGTGCATATTGCAGCAAGATTGATGGTCTACATCACAAGAAAAGCCAAAAGGTCAGCAACAGTCAAAGAATTGACCGGATCAAGATTTAAAAATTGGAGGAAAATGTGTCGGTGCATAAAGTAGTCCATAATTAAAGCAATCATACTAAAATTAGTATAAAGCATCCCAAGATAAGATTAAACAATATATTCAAGGACATATTAAGCTCTTTTTATTTGAGAAATATGTGAAACTTCTCTTAAGAAACAGGAGAATGATGAAATTCAGATCCAATAAGATCTCCAATACAGATCCAATAAATGATTAATCAAATACTTAAAAAAGAATAACACGTTTTAATATCTCGCAAGGATATTAATAGAAAAAAATATGAATCTAAGAATTTTGGCAATAACACAATTTCATATTCACAACGAGAAGATCCATTATTCATATAATGAGAAGCAAAAATGGAGTAAAATTACCAGATCTGCCATCTTGATAAGACCTTCAAGACGAGAATCGTTCTTGATGTTGATGCGGTGGAACTGGATGCGATCAGCCCAGGTGAGCGTAGCCGGTTCGAGAAGGTGCTTGATCTTGTCATTGTAAACGTCGACGGCGAGCACCTTGTGCGGCGTCTCCGACATTAGCTTCTCGCATAAATGCGAGCCAATAAAGCCTCCGGCACCAATCATACATATCGTAATTGGGTTTATTGGATTTCCGTCCAGATCTACTCTTCCTGCCATTTCCAAAATTCTCTCTACAAAACTTCTTCTTCTACTTCCTTAAGTATATGGATCGTTTGATTCTTTGGGGAAAAAAAACAAAAAAGGGGTAATGACGGTGAAGGAAGGGGGGATATTTAAAGGAAGTAAAAGGAGGGAGGAGAGTAGAATTTGGCAGTGTGTGTGTGGCTGTGGCCAGACTGCATTCATTTTCCTATGTACGCGCTTCATAATATACACACGGAAAATGTTGTGGCCACTGGATTATCTCTTCCTTTTATTATTCTCTGTCCAGTTGGTTTTTAGTTCCTATAACTTCTTAGATTTTTTTCTCTCGATACTTGCCACTAATTCTCATGTATAGTTTTTTTAACTGGACAGGCTTATTGTTTATCTTTCTTAATTAGTATACATTAATTATATAAAGTTATACATATATTGCACATAAATTATACTCCCTCCTGTCCAAAATAAGTGATTTTTTTGGATGTTTTCACACGGATTAAGAAATCCACCTTTTAGCATTAATTAGCAATGGAATTGACCATATTAACCTTTACTATCTCACATAAACATTCCTAACATATATTCTAACACTATTTACTCCAAGGACAATGAAGGAAAAAAATAATTAATTCATTCTTGAAATCTGGAAAAATCACTTATTTTGGACCACAAGAAAAATGCCAAAAAATCACTTATTTTGGACCGGAGGAAGTACTTATATTATATATCAACCAACTTTTTTTTTAGTTTATGTGGTCAAGTTAACAACTATTTAAGTTAATTTTTCCAAAAAAAAGAAAATAGCCATTATGAAGTAAATTCTTAATTAGACTGGGACTATTACTATGTAAATGGGAGAGGCTCCACATGCGTATCTAATGTAGAAGCTATGGGTTCAGCGCAACCCATAGTTTTAGCCATATCCTATATTTTTATTTAAAAAATTATTAAATAATAAAATTTGAACCCATTAAATTAGATGAGATATGATAGAATTATGACTCTGAACCTATAAAGTTTAAATTCTGGATTCACCTCTACCACAAGTGACGTGTTCACTCGGGCACTTGCTCTCCATAACCATGTCATGTGAGCTAATGAGCTGTCCATTTTCATGCTCACTTAGCTTATCTTTTGGGAATAAAATGATCACCGGCCCGTGCAAGCACCACCGACGCACATACCAATAGTCCAATACTATCAATATCTTAACTAAAAAGAAAAAAGGTTAAATAAAATAGTACTCCTATAACTTATACATATTGATAGCACTAGTTAAGAACTTTAATTAATAATCGGATTAACAGGTACACTAGTGCAATAAATGTTTTATTGTTAGTGTGCATAAGTAAGTACAAAAGGGAGCTCGTCAATTCTGTTACTCCAGATCCTTTTCTCCCTCATGTGTTCAATATTAATCTCACAAAAATTTTAGAACATGATTAACAGGAAAATGACAAAGATTAAAACGAATTAGATAATAATAGTCAAGAGATTGCTGGATTTGATTTAACATTTGGCATAAGTTAATTTCCCGAAGCTAATTGTTGAAAGAGCTCTAGCTATGACGGTTTACAGAGAAATGAAAGAGAACACAGAGATGAAAAACAAGACCTTTACTTCATTCTTAATTTTGGAATGTACAATTCGCGTATTTACAAAGCACTACTACTACTTATAAGACTTCATTCCTAATTAATTGTTACTACTCCACTAATTAGTTGTAACTAACCACTAACTGATTCTACACTGTTAAATATGTGGGACCCACATTCCTCAACACTCCCCCTCAAGCTGAGGGATGAAAACACATTCTTCATTCCCAGCTTGCTCAGTAAGTACTCATGTTGTCGTTTGCACAATGCATTAGTTAGTAAATCTGCAACTTGTTCTATTGTCCCAACATGCTGTGTTTGGATCAGTCCTTGCACCAATTTCTCCCTTACAAAATGACAGTCGATGTCTATATGTTTAGTTCTCTCGTGAAAAATAGGATGTGCAGCAATTTGAATGGCTGCTTTGCTATCATAGTGCAACAACACAGGTAATTTGATATCTATGCCCAATTCTCTGAATAGCCCAACTAGCCATACAATCTCAGCAACTGTGGTTGCCATACTTCGAAATTCTGCTTCAACTAAGCTTCTAGACACTGTCCTTTTTTTTTTTATTTCTAGGAAATGAGGGCACCACCAAACTTTACTACATATCCAGAAACTGACTTCTAGACTCCACACATGCTCCCCAATCAGCGTCATATGCTACAAGTTGATTGCAGCTACCAGTAGGCATAAACAACCCAAGTCTTGGTGTAGACTTAATGTACCTTACCACTCGCTTGGCAGCTTCCATATGAGAGACTTTGGTTGCATGCATATATTGGATGAGCAACTGCACTACAAAGGCTATGTCTGGCCTTGTCATAGTTAGGTACATTAATCTACCTATCAATCTTTGATAGATGCCTTTATCTTCAAGAGGTATATCTTCTAATGCAATTTTGTTTACTTCCTGATCAAACTCAACTGAGGTGAGTTTATGATTGAATTCAAGAGGAGTACAGATTGGTTTTTCACCTGCTAGACCAAGTTCAGAAACCAGTTCCAAGGCATACTTCCTCTGACACATCAAAATACCTTTTTGTGATCTTGAGAATTCAATTCCAAGAAAGTATTTAATTCTCCCAAATCATTCATCTTGAATCTTTCCTGTAATTCTTTTCTAACTTGTCTGATAAAGTGTAGACTAATGCCTGTGATCAGCAAGTCATCCACATATACTAGTACTATCACCAGTTTTGTTCCATCCCTTTTTGTAAAAAGAGAGTAATCATAATGACTCTGTACAAACTTCATATCTAAAAGTGCTTCAGTTAGCTTGAGATTCCATTGTCTAGGTGCTTGCTTCAGCCCATACAATGACTTGTGCAATTTGACACTTTCTTATACTCCCCCTAGCTTGAAAAGCCATCAGGAATGTGCATATAAACTTCCTCAACCAAGTCACCCTGCAAGAATGCATTGTGCATATTTATCTGGATCACTTACCAATTAGAAGCAGCAACTAAGGCAAGTACAACCCACACAGTAACCATTTTGGCTACTGGTGAGAATGTTTCTGTGTAATCTAAGCCTTCCTGTTGGCTGTAGCCTTTGGCTACCAGTCTAGCCTTGTATCTCCCTACTTCACCATTGGATTTATACTTAACTTTGAAAACCCATTTACACCCAATAGGAACTTTGTCTGGTGGCAGGTCTACTATAGACCAAGTATTATTTTCTTCCAAGGCTGATATTTCAGCTTGCATTGCTTCCTCCCACTTAGGATCATCACTAGCTTCACTGAAAGAATTAGGTTCAGCAATGGCAGAATAGGCTGCTAAGGAAGCTTGATAAGCAGGAGAAAGGTGATCATAAGCTACACATTGTGAAATTGGATATGAGCAAGTCCCCTTCTAATGTTGGACCACATAATTAGTGAGCCACACAGGAGGTTTAGAAGGTCTGGAGGATCTTCTGAGTGCTGCAGAAGGAACTGAATGATCAGTGGGAATATTTGCAGGCACAGGTGTTGAGGGTTCAGCACTAACAGGTGTAGAAGGAGATGACTGAATGATAGGAGTGATAGAATCTGAAGACAATTGTTGAGTATCTTTATATGTGGGAGAAGAGTCTGTGAACTCAAGAACAAGAAACAAGTAAGGAACACCAAACTTCATATTCTTAAAAGGAAAGATATCTTCTTTGAACACAACATCTCTGCTCACAAAAAAACCTTTAGAGTGAAGATCATATAACACATAGCCCTTTTGAGAGTAAGAATACCCCATGAAAACTGTTGGGACTGATCTAGGACTAAACTTGTCTACCTTCAGTACTTTAGTGGCATAACATAGGCTCCCAAACACTCTAAGGTGCGGAGCTTTCTGATACAATGCTTGAAAAGGTGTTTTTCCCTGAAGGAGAACAATAGGTAGCCTGTTTAGTAGGTATACTGTAGTGGACACACATTCTCCCTAGAAATGTAAAGGTATATAGGCTTGGAACCTCAGTGCTCTGGCCATATCTAGAATTGATATGTGCCTCCTCTCAATAGCTCCATTCTGCTGAGGAGTATACACACAGGAACTCTAATGAAGAATTCCAAGGTTTTGCAATAAAGTGGACACTTGATCATTCATAAATTCAGTACCATTATCTGTCTAAAGACATTTAGCTGAGGTCTTGAACTGAGTTGTGACCATAGCCAGGAAATTTTTCAATGCCGCAATAGTGTCAGCTTTAGTGGTTAAAAGAGATATCCAAATGTACTTTGAGTAATCATCAACTAAAGTCAAGAAATATCTTTTGTTGTCATGAGTAGGGATCCTATAAGGACCCTAAACATCTGCATGCACAAGATCAAAGACAGAAGTAGAACATGAAGATCTAAGATGAAAAGGAAGTCTGGGCTGTTTTGCAATGGGACATACAGTACAGTGATCACCAGTGAGATGCACATCACTTAAGCTGTGTATTTTCTGTACTACTCTCTCTTGTGCCACAAATCAAACTTATTGCAAGATTGTGTGCTGCATTTACTAGTCTTGCTGACACACTTATTTGTATTACTAACAGTGGTATTTACAGTTGGTAGATAATGTTGCTCAGAGAATTGCCTGTCTTCAGTCTTGAGAATATAGAGACCAAGTTCATCTTTACCAATCCCCAGGACCTTCCCACTGAAGAGTTCCTGAAAGACACAGAAATCAGGAAAGAATGCCACCATACACTTTAGTTCTTTTGTGATCTTAGAGACTGAGAGTAGATTATACTTGAATTCTGGTATATGCAATATGTTTTGAACCTTCTTATCTCTGAAAAAGGAACAGATCCCAGGTGTAATAACAGCCTTCTCACCAGTAGGGAGATATACTTTGTTTTTATCTGTTTCTGATAACTCTTCATCGGAATCCAATAGGTTTAGACTATGCACCATGTGGTTTGAAGCTCCTGTATCTATTATCCACTTATGGTTTATCAAAGAGGACATAAAGCAATGTATGTTACCTGCTGTTCCTATAGTTGTTGCATTAGCTACAGGTTCAGCATCCTTGCCTTTGTTCAACATCTGCAATATCTGCTGGTATTATTCTGGAGTAAAGAATTGAGCTGGAGAACTGAAACTAGAGCTTCCAAAGGCATTATTTTGAGCTTCTGATGTATAGAT